CTGTACAATGTAACACCTACTTTTTACTATTTATGTTATGAGTCCCATGTAATAGGGGGTGAACCTATTGCCATATACCGGGCACAATTCCAGACTCCGTGCTACTACTGAGAATATTTAAAAACCCAGTAATACTTTGCCCGAAATACCATACCCGGCCGTCGCACATACGACCACTCGGCCAACGAGGCAGCAGCTGTAGCCAAATGCCATTTAGCGCTTGTCTACATGTAGAATAAAAAAACCAAATTATCTGAAATTGGCGTAAATTTTGACACTTGTCAGTGTCATCCCCGTACATTTAGTTTTCTACTCGTTCGGTAGACAAGCGCTAAAGTGGCGTTTGGCTAAAGGCACAGGTTATTTATGAGTACGTGTGTAATGGGTGACCACGTTACCAGACTTAAGAAAATGACAGATGTCCTTCGTGTCAATGTGTGTGTGTGTTCTGCGTGTAAATCTGTAGTAGCTACGTGCCACAGTTGTTGTTGAGAAGAGAGATATTGTGTCTGCCTTGTTTTTCAACGTGCTTGTATGGAAATTTATAAAAATGCGTTTAAGCTGTCAAACACCAAGCGGTCACCGGTGACCGCAACCTATTGTTCTATAATTGTGTCTATAATGACGGTACTCGACGAGTTAAGGCTTATTTAAATCATTCTGTCTCGTGCACCGAGAAATCTTAAGTCCCGGTGAATTTGGGAGGGAGCATCTCTTTTTTCAGAGTGGACAATCATCCAATGACTTCTCCCGCCTTGGGTTAGGCGAGAGGGAATATCAAACTCTTACTGACTAAAAACCACCCCGTTCCTACTCCTGGTTTTTAAGCCGTAGCCCCCACAACCCGTTAGGCCTTCCGCGGCTCCGTTCGCTGTGGTATCTGAGACAGTTATTCCTGTCCTTGGTACACGCCAGCCTTTATTGTTCGGTGTAGATCCTAATACAGGAGTTACAGCAGTTTTGAGAGGTTGTGGTGGACTTGTCAAAGTACTAGTAACGGATGACCAGTTCCGGTGGGCATTCCTCTAAATGGGCTTCTCCCAGTTGTGCAGTCTCTTTATGTCTTTAAGATTTACTTTAGTCATTCTGTCTCTTGCATTAAATCCATCAAGGGAAACTGTTACTTCTCTTTTCCTGAAATAGTATCTTCTGATTTATTTCGCTGTGGTATCCCAGTATATTCATGTCCCTGGGACGTTGGACATCAGTGTTCCGGTGTTTGCATGGTTGTATCTACTGTAGATCCTGGTGCACAGGAGGTGTAGGTTGTGGGAGGTTGTGGTGGGTTTCTCCTATAAAGAATCTCAATCTATGGCGTCTTTGAACTCTAGTCTTACTAACAATCAGGTTTTATTAACAGCTCGGTAAACATCAAACAAAACAATGAAACATGAGTTTAAAGATTAAATCTAACTATTTGCTGGCATTATGTCACGTGTAATATTATGAACCGGCGGAATAGAATATAATAATGTATATCGCCATCTTTATTATTCTCGTGAGTGTCGAATGAACTGTCAAATATTTTTTTTCTTTCTATTATTTTCGTGTTTTAAAAATAGAATACGAAAATAACAACGCTACGTTACCATAGCAACGCCTTCAACACAGAGTTTAATTTGAATGAAGTTTAAAATAAATAATAACTTAAATTATGATGGGCTTGCATGATGCAATTTCTTTATATGAACTGTCATTTTAAATTTAGGTGATGGAGCGATGGTTACGTGGTTGACAGCTACGACTGTTGAATAATTGGTTGCTTAATTATAAAATCGAATTAGTCCATCAGATAAGTCATGAAATAATATTAGACTCGTATTATTTTATTTTTTCGTAGGTATAAGAAAACAATACTTAGATAAAACGAATCAAAGTTCAGGAGTGGGAGGAAAAACGTCATTTTTGAGTATAAGTACATAGTGACCTAATCAATATATTGTTGAAAGTTTTTTTTTTTTTTTTTTTTTGGCTTTTAAGACATGCAGACATCTTTGGACCACAGTTTATTTTGTGAATAAAAAACTTAAATAACAACTATTACATAAATAAAATTAAAACTAAATATTACTAAATTAAATATATACAACTTATGATTAAAATTAATTATAGGAAAAATAAACTATTTATAAGGCATCGAAAAATTCGTCCGCATCGACGTCAGTGGGGAAAGTACCCAGAAGGCTGGCAGCATTGCCACGTTGTATGGCAATGCTTAACCTCTGACCGAGAAAAAGACCAGCCCTCTGGTCACGAGATGTGTCGACCAGGCGTTTCGAAATGTTTTTGAACAATTTAAGCGCACTCGGACCCCACGGACCTAACGTTTCAACCCCAAACGGCTCAAAGATATAACTACCAGCAAGGTTGTTATACTTGCGCCGCTTGAGGTTTTCTGCAGAGGCAGCAGCCGAACCAGCACAACTCGCCGTTACTGGAAGATGAGAAGGTGCAAGGGTGTCGACGCAGGTTGCGTCCCACACCAAAGACTTTCCCAGCTTCCAGGGCATAATGGACATACCGTCGGGTCTCTTACCATCGTCGCGTGCCAAACCCTTTGGTTCCAGAACAGCTGGTACACCGGCGATGACAAGAGCTCGACGGATGATGTCGTTAATGCTGGCGTGTCGGGCTATCCGGCCCGCGCTTCTGCTACACGATAGGCCGTGGTGGCCGAGGTGGTCGACCATCTCACCGCATTGACAGCGATGCGGAGAAACACAGGGTGCACCTACACGCAAGCAAGCAGCAAGCCGAAAAGTTGAGTCATTCAACATCGTGCCAATATTGAATGACGGAAGTGCCTGAAGCCAGAGACCTGATTCCCACTCACCCACAGCCAATAGGCGAGCTAACTCCGCAGGATTGGTGCTGGTATTAATTAGATTATTATGCACCAACCTGCAAAGCGGCTCGTCCCATTGTCTCTGGGAGGAAGGGTTGACAGGCAAGGCTGTATTGGGACAAGTTTCTGTCCAGGCGTTCATCGCGTCGGTCAGACACGGCACATCGGGTTCAACGTCAAGACCGGCTAAAATATTTTTTGTTAAAGTACTAGTGCTGTGGACAGAAGAGATGAACGCCGGTAAACTAACACTGGAAATTTTGCGGACGCCTAGGCCACCAAAACGAATTGGTAGTGTGGCTTGAAGCCAAACACGATCGTCCATGGAAGCATTCAAAAGTGAAATTAATGTGTCACGGATAATTTGTTGAAAGTATTTGTTTCTGTAAGGAGAAAAGTCATGTCTAATATTTTTAAATAATCTACCAGACGGACATTAAAATAAAAGACGGTGGAAGAATTGTCGAATATATTAAGTTATACTTCAGTTAAAATTTATCTAGCATTGGAAAAATCAGTCCTATGAATTATTCTTGCTATCGGCTAAAGTATCCGGCTCCTTCCGAAAAAATGACGGCAACGTACTTGTTGTATCGCCTCTAGTGTTGCGGATGTCACGGCCCTGCGGACGGCGAGCATGGGTGGCTCCCCGTCCGATCAGACACAGACCCGAGCGTACGGCGCGTCGCCGTCTGCTCGTTAGCTGACCTATCACATAAAAAATCTGGACTAGGTACTTGCCTAAGGAATTGTACCTCATATATTTCGAATTCACGGTGTATAAAGGTAAGGTCAATAAAAAAGACAACAATTATAAGCTTGAATATTATTTATTTTATGTACAGTTTAAATATTGTTCGTTTTTATCACAGAGTTTTCATTATTTTTAACATTTTTTTTTGTATCGAACAGAAATGGCGGTTGTATGTACATATAAAATCACAAAATTATTCGTAAAATTATTGTAATTGTTTATTTATTTGTTATTGTCTAACAAATTGTGTAGAGATTTTTAAGCCACTTTTATTATTTTGACATATTACTTTATTATTTTGACATAATTTTATTACGGCATCCGTCCTTTTTGTTACGTAATTATTATGCCAAATATTTTGTAGACCTTACTATATTTATTATTTTTTTATAAAATAATAATAATAGAGGTATTTATTGTGTTTGTTGTACGATATTTGTATAAGTTATTCTTAGCTTAACTGCCACGCATATCTATTGTAAAAATTTCATACGAAAAATACTTTAAATAAATTAATGGTCAGTTAAACTAATACAAATTAAATTAGATATCGTAAAACAACCTATTGACGTCTTGTTATTGTGTTCTTTGAAACACATACAAATTGAATCTTGACTTTTAAGTCATTTGTGGATTTTAATCCACAAACAAAAATAACAAATAACTTAAACAAAGAATACATAGTAATATTAACTTAAAATTAATATTATTTACATTTAATTTACAGTAAAACTTAAGTTAAATAACTTACTTTTACTATATGTAGACACCAAGTTATTATTTAGACGTCTTAGCTATAAAATTTAGTCTGAATAGTAATAAATATTAATCATAATCATAATTATTTATTAATCTGACTGCACTGGGTAAAAGAAAATCGTGGGTTCGATTCACGGAACAACTCTTTGTATGATTCACAAAATAATGTCCGGATCTAGGAGTGATGTGTAAAAAATAAGTTCAGACTCATTTTAAACTCTAAGACTTCGCAATACACATCATTTTATATCTAACACAGATTGAACATTGGTAACTATCACAATTAGGCAAGAATTTATGTATAAAATAAGAATAAATTCATAAATTACGCCACACAAATAATAATAATAAAATAGGCATTATTATTTCATACGAAACATACATAATATTATAATAAAATAATTTCTAATTTAATTTAATAATAATTTCGTCTGACATGACAATATAAAAATTTAATAAAAATAAATAAATTCGATTTCATTTAAATAATAGTTCCAAAAATAACAATAATAAAAAAGATAACATAAAGACCACGAATTTGCCAAGAAGAAATATCACCATAAAATAAATATTCTTTGTACTTTGTATAAAAATAAATTACAATTTAAAATGATAATTATCAATATTTATTATTCTAATTTTTATTTGATAATTATCGTTACTTATCGCTGAGCAATAAAGAGAGAAAATTCAGATCCGATATTTATATAACATTGTTTTTTTAAATTGCCTAATAAATGCCTAAATAGCACTTTCATTAAGGCATGGCATTACCTTTCTGGCCGATTCTAGGACAATTCAGAGTTCTTCGACACTTCATCATAATTCACCAACGCAGTCCTGCAATATTTTTTTCTAACCTTGATTTTATTAGCAAAAATTTAGTTTATAATATACATGGTTTTAATTGAAGTACAATGTTTTTTCTGATATTCATCAATTAAATATTTTAGTCCGCAGATTAAATATTTAGATGATTCCGGTAATTTGAACATAATTTAAAATAAAATGCGTTTGTTGTTGGCTTTCATTTCGTCAGCTATTTAAATTGGTCATAAAACTCCTATAGTAGGTACCTTTTATAACGAAATTGTTGAATACATTGCAAAAAACAGTCAACTGGATACCGTATACCAATAATTTGAATTATGAATTAAAATCAAATTGTCTCGAAACAAATCCACAAAAAATATTGCAGGACCAAACCATATCCAAAATGATTGAGATCACTTCAAGAAACAAAACAAAACCTCCAAAATGGAAACCTCCTTTCTTACCCCCCCCCCTCTTCTTTAAAACAGTCTTGGCACATCAAGTTTCAAATCGAAACATTCAAAATTTTGTACACAATTTTTTGGCGAACAGCTAAGAAGAAATTCAATTCCTCTTCAAACGACGTTTCTATCCGTATTGACATCTCTTCTTCGAGCTGACGCCCTGGTACTTGCTCTGATCGAAGCCCTGATCGAGGCTCTGGAGCCGATGGCACTGGGAACTGCTCTGACGAACTCTTGAGGTTCGGCGGTGGACACTGAAGCTCGTTTGGTATACCTGGCGGTGTGTTCCTCGCTTTCTGCTTGTTCGGGTTTGTTCCTGGAATTTTAAGAAGAGAAGTTAGAACAGATGTTGGACTTTAGATAAATAGAAATCGAAAGTAAATTTTTGATTGGTCTTTTTCCCTATTCAATTTCATAATAAGTTCATGTCAAATGTCAGATTCCAAATTAAAGAAGACGGACTTTTAAGATCAGTCCTTTATATATAAGAACTGGCTGCCGTGCAACGTGTCGTGGGTTCGATTCCCGCACGGAACAACTCTTTGTGTGATCCACAAATTGTTGTTTCGGGTCTGGGTGTCATGTGTATATGAACTTGTATGTTTGTAAACGCACCCACGACACAGGAGAAAATCCTAGTGTGGGGCAACGTTTTTTAAAAAGAAAAAAAAGTCCAAGATTTTACATAACCAAACTGAAGATGGCTGTTTTCAGCTCATGATTAGGAAGTTTTCACTTGTTCGTTAATCTTTAAACTTTGTGCAATGAAGTATTTTATTTTATTTTATTTATTTTATTTATTAACAGCTAACAAAAACACAATTTACGCAACTATTAACCAATTACATGTTTTCGCATTTAGTTATCTATGAAGAACACGCTTGAAAGAGAAAAAATGAATAAAGAGGTAATTAGGAATTATGGCAAATTCAATAATATTAATTCTTGTAGTGCTAAATGGAACAGCTATCGAACCAATGTTTTGTAAGTATATATTCTTAGATTTACGGTTAGTCTCAATAACCATTATATCACAACGAAATGCAAAAAAATCACTACAGAATGAACTCGCACGGTTCTCACACATAATCTTTTATATACGTATATTGTCTGGACTTTAAAAGAGACGGACCTCTGAATTTGTTTCCGCTTTTCTTCTTAGCAGCTGTAGCCGAATGCCATTTAGCGCTTGTCTACATGTAGAATAGAAATCCAAATTAGTTATATGGAATTGACGTAAATTTTGACAATTGTCAGTATCATCCCCACACATTTTGATTTCTACTCTCTCTGTAGACAAGCGCTAAAGTGGATTTTGGCTAAAGGCACAGAGTAGTCAGTTAGGAAATGTCAACCTCATCGTTCGCTTGATAAAATTGACATGTAAAAAGTGCTGCCTTGTAGCCTATTTGCAGATATATATTCATTTGTTTCACTTGAATTTCGACTCAATTTGTGTTGAACCTAAGTTGAAATTCCATCTCTAATCACTAAATGCACCAATAATAAATAATTGACCTGTGTCAATATATCCATCTTTCTTACCTGGGGAAACAAGGATTGTCCCAGAACCTCTGATCCTTGCCAAAGTTCTCTCCATCAAGCAGAGTTTGAGGCATCTCAGTGTCCATAGTCTCTGGTAAGAAGAGACAGAGTAGACCACCAGCTATACCCAGCACGCCAAGAATTAGGAGAGGGAGATCTTGGGAGATGTTGGCCTGAAAGAAGAATAAGAAGATTAGTAACTGTTATAAATATATGTTTATGTTATCTATCTTCTACTATATATCTACGAAAGAAGTATACAGAGCGGATATGAATGGGGCCGTCGGTAGAGGGCGCCCTAGACGGACATATAGTGACCAGATTGGCGACATATTAAAAAAGGACCAAATTAAAAGTACCCTTAACCGACGAGCATGCATGAAAAGATTGATGACTGTTAATGAAGCGAAAGAGGTATGTAAGAATCGTGGTAATTGGCGTTCCTTAGTCTCTGCCTACCCCCATGGGAGACATGCGTGAAGTTATGTATGTATGTATGTTTATGTTATCTGTGGCAAGCTGGCCACTTTCAATAGGGGAACCTATTTATGTTCTTCTTTTGTTTTGGAAAATATATGAGTCTGTTTCTGACTAGCTTGTTTAATTCACACGATAAATAATTACTGCATTCTATATTGATAATACCTCTATATAACAGTAACATTGCAGAATTTTCAGATAGAATAAAAAGATTAGCCAATATTGTAAGTGCAAAAAGATTCGGAATAATATAAAAAGTCTTAAAGTCAACGCATAGATACCTAATCAGCACGGCTCTGTCATGACCCGGCAATATGGCGTTTTTTGCTTTAGAACCAACACTACATATGTTTGCCTAGCGCCTCAAAGAGCCATCAGGGCACAGATGGGGCCCAATAGGGCTGATGCGTACGGAGCCGTGGAGAACATAACGGGTTACCGGGGCTCCGGCTCGAAGTGTAGGAGTAGGAACGGGGTGGTTTTTAGTCAGTAAAAGTCTGACACTCCCTCCCGCCTCACCCAGGCGGGAGAAGACATTCGATGGTTTTCCCCCCTTAAAAAAACACTACGTTTGCCTAGACGCGGTCTCCACTCACACGAGACCATACCAACCTTTGGTGGTAGGTTAATATTTTACTTCATAAGCAAGTCTAAAGTTTTTATATTTATATTATTAAGGACTAGTAGGACTAGTAGGACTTACCAAGTACACCACAAACGGAGCCACTATAGAAGCTACATAGCCCATGATGTGGATAAGCGCTACACCCTGGGCTCTCACTACAGTGGGCAACAGTTCAGCAGCGTACTGAAGACCAATGTTATAAGAGATGTTCACGGCGAAACGACCGAGGATAGCTAGGGAAGCTGATGGTCCACCTGGTACAAAGAAAAATATATTAAAGTCAAAACTAAACTGATGAGAATGTATATGAGGCATGAAATCCTTATTACAATATTTCATACTTTGACTTTGACTTTAACTTTGACTTTGAAAAATACTTTAAAGAATTCGGAAAAAAATACCTAGCACAACGCATACAGGGTGAGTTCCCGTCCGCAACCATAGAAAAAATAAAGGAAATAGTTTCTGTAAAATCGACGTGTATCTGCATAAAATGAAATTAGTTCGGCACTCAGGCGACTTGGTAGATTTCCACTTTAGCATCTTCATTATCATATCAGCTGCAAAACGCTGCTAAACGTCCACTGCCTCACAATGTCCTCCCCCAATGACTTCCAATCCCTCCGGTTGAAACCGAACTGAATCCAGGAGCTCTTTGCTCTGTAAGGTCATCCTATGCTGTAAGTGGACGTCCAGGCGCTGTATTTGCCCGTACGTGGCGTCCCTTTGAGAACCTTTTTGCTTACATCGCCCGTCAGTTTTACGGGATTACTTTTACTTTTTTAGAATATAATAATAGATCTACGTCACTTACCAACAGGTACAGCTGTGGCTAATAAACTGAAGATACCACTAATCACCATGGAACCACACGCCAACCATCTTCTACCCCACCTGGAGAGTAACAATACTCATTAGACAACATAATTTCAACAACTCATGAAGATTCGACAGAGGCATACTTCCAAGTTCTACAAAAACTTATATTATTACAGGTTTTTTAAACACACACGTGAAATCACCAGGGCACCTGGTTATTGCATTTTCAAATTTCTAACCAAAACTCTCCGCTAATACTTCACTCGACCTGGTCATCAATCCCCAAGAGCCCTTATCCCCTGAGTTTGTTTCGGCATTTCTTCTCAAAGTAGTCAGTTAGGAAATGTCGACCTCATCGTTTGCTTGATAAAATTCACGTGTAAAAGTGCTGCCTTGTAGCCTATTTGCAGAAATAAATTCACTTGTTTCACTTGTATCGTTTATTTTAATTTATTTTTATGGCAGCAACCGGTAAACGAGCTGTCAGATCACCTGATGGTAAACTATTGGCGTTGCCCATGAACAACTGGAACACTAGAGGCGTTACAACTGCGTTACCGGTCTTTTGGGAATTGAGAATTAGAAGATTGTGGGGGTTTCAGGGATTGAGGAGACTGGGGAGGAGGGTAATTGGGCCTCCGATAACCTCACTCATACGAAGAAACACCACACAAGCGTTGTTTCACGTCGGTTTTCTGTTCGGTCGTGGTATCACTCCGGTCGCCGGCCCATTTGTATCAAAGCATGGATCTTGCACACATAAAATGTATACCACTCGACCAACAACGCAGTCAAACAATCATTACGAGTATTTATACCACAGCACATCCCAGCCATTTTGCCATTTTCTGGCAAATAATACAACATGTATCACTTACTCTTCATACAAGTACTAGATCAGACCCTTACCTGTCCAAAACAGCTGTCAAAAACGTATCAGCAGGCAGTTCCGTAGCTGACGCAATAGTGAACGTCAGGAAGATGTCCAGACCCAAAGACCCAACGTTCCTGACATGGCCATCAAAGACCAAGGATATGGCCATCCAGATCACAATGAGGAGTATCGCATTGCGCCTCAACCGAGGAGTCTTAAAGAGGTCCAATACGGAGTAAGTTCTGCATTCAGCTTCTGATTCTTTTATGGTTTTTAGGGAGGATTCCTGTGAAGATAAAATTGTGAATGAATATTACTTATTTTGGGAGTTTTATAAATGGTTTTTGAGACGTAAGTGTTGCCTATTGTCGTGTGTGCTCCATCGTCGGCTTCATCATCACTTTGCTTACCATTTTCGAGTAGGTGTCCAAACGCATATTAATTATATCAATTATATAAAAAATGGTCTGTTTGTGCTCATAAGATTTCTGATATCTTTTTTGTTCATCATCATCATCATCAACAGCCTATAAATGCCCACTGCTGAGCAAAGCCTCTTCTCACACGGAGAAGGTTAGAGCGTTAATCAACACGCTTGCTCAATGCGGGTTGGCGATTTCAAACTTATAATTAGAAATTATAAGTCCAGGTTTCCTCACGATGTTTTTCCTTCACCTTTTGTCAGTGGTGTCTAAATAATCTTAGAAAGTACATATAACTCGGAAAAAGTCACATTGGTACTTGCCGTTGGTAGGTTTCGAACCCTAGGATTAGACCCTAGGTTCTTTTTTGTTATTCGACTCAATCATTTGATTTAATCAAAAGCGTACTTGTTTGTTTTTGTCTAACCTGGCAAAGATCGTCGTCTACAATCAAACTTAATATCAACAATGTTCGGTAGTGACTTACTGTAAAATCGCTGAGGACTTTTTCAGGTATTTTAGTCTTGTTGATTCTTTCGAACTTCTTCATGATCGTCAGAGCTTTGTCTATTTTGCCTTGTGAGACCAACCATCTGAAAATAGAGACAATATTATATTTAGTAATATCTGCAAATATGCTAGAAAAGGTGAATTTTACACCAGTAATATTATGAGAACTTGGTTAGGCGTCCGCATCCTGACGCTGGGCGGAATTTCAAAGTCCTTTATAATCATATGAAGATTCTGTAATTATTTGATCGTCTATTTCTATTGCAATTGTTTTAGATCACTTATTTAAAAAACTGGTCAAAAATGGGACACTAAAGATACGTCTAAATATCAGAATTAAAAGTCGAATTTAATAATTTAAGAATCCAAAATTTAAAATTGAACTGTCACTAGATCATCGGAGCAGATCAAGACAATCGATATTTTATATCGCAACTGTTGACTTGATTATTTATTATTTAATAGAAATATCTAAATCATTATTTCACTTTCTACTACGTATCAAAATCTTACCTAGCGCTCTCAGGAACCAACCAAGGTGTCAATATAGCCAATGCGAATGGCAAACTGGTGCCCATAGCAAACATTCGCCAATCATCAGCCCACAACGCGATCCAGGGTAGAAGTGACGCAGCCAGGGTGAAGAACAGAGCAATGGACATGTTGGCGACAAATGTTCTCCATTTGGGTCCAACGTACTCCAACACTGAGGAGAAAGTAGTATGTTATAGTAGATAAATGACCTGATGGTAAGCAATTAACGCCGCTAATGGACACCCACGACACTGAAGGAGTTACTAGTGAGTTGTTGGCCATTTGTCCGGTGAACCCCAGCACTTTTTTTAAGGGGAGAATGATCCAATTACTTCACCCGTTCGGGTTAGACGAGAGGGAGTGTCAGACTCTTACTGACTAAAAACTACCCCCCCCGTTCCTACTCCTGCACTTCGAGCCGGAGCCCCGGTAACCCGTTAAGCCCACCGCGGCTCCGTATCGGCTTTTGTGCTGGTCTGATGGTGTACAAGATATGGTGTCCTTTCTACCTTAAAACTATAACTAGAGCCTTATAAAAGAGTAACAACAAAATTTGTTTATGCGCATAGTCGTTGGTTGGATTTTTTGTCAGGCGCAGCTTTAAGATTTTTGTTAATTCCAATTGCGGACAAATTTTTGTCGGACGCTCCAGTTTTATGATATCATAAATTTTGGGTTAACTGGTCTAGTTTGGAAAACATATTCTAGTGTACCCTAAGTGCACCTTAAACATATAATTTTTTAATATTTTTCTGATAACTGTTGGAGCTTTACAGATCACCTGGAGCCATTTGATCGTCTAATTCAGGGACACCTGTATAGCTTGCTAAATAAATGTAGTATAAATAACTCACCCAGGATGTACATCATAGTAAAACAGTTGTCAAAGGCGAGTCCCACGAAGAACCTGCAGAGCGCGAATGTGAGGAAACTATTGCAGAAAGAAGTTCCTATTCCTGCTATGAAACCGAGGAGGTTGGTGCCTGGAAGAGAGAATTTATTAATGAGTTAATATAGTCATCATTACCTATTTATTGATTATTGGCTGCCTCGTTGGCCGAGTAGTCGCGAGTGCGACTGCTGGGCAAGGGGTCTCGGGTTCGATTCCCGGGTCGGGCAAAGTATTACTGGGTTTTTAAAAAACACATTGTACAGTGGAATAATGTGCACCTCTGCCTACCCCTTCGGGGATAAAAGGCGTGATGTTATGTTATGATTATTGATTTTCAGTCATGATCGTCCCACTGTAGAGCAAAAGCCTCCCTCCTTCCACTCCTCTCTATGTAAATCTTTTTGCGGCCAATCCTTGTCATAGATTTGACTGCACGGTTGGTGCGGTGGCTGGGCAACCGGCTGCCATGCAACGTGTCGCGGATTCGATACCCGCACGGAACAACACTTTGTGTGATCCACAAATTGTTGTTTCTGGTCTGGGTGTCATGTGTATGTGAACTTGTATGTTTGTAAACGCAACCACGACAAAAAAAGATGTCTGCTTCGTCCCGCCATCTCCTTTTGGGCTTGCCGCGACGTCTACTGACGTTGAGTGGGCTCCACTCAGTATTAAGTTTTGCCCATAACACAAATAGTGAAAAGTGGGTGTGACATTGTAAATACAATGGCATTAAGTGCCGTAATGCGCACCTCTGCCTACCCCTTCGGGGATAAAAAGGCGTGATGTTGTGGTATGTTAAATTAATTGGATTGGAGCCGTGCCTATAAGTGTGCCATTAAATCTATTTTTTGAAAACCACATCGAAATGGTTTCAGCTAATTATGATGGTAATCGCGGAACATATAAACAAACACATACATAGATACAAATAGGTCAACTTTTGTGGGCTGTTGTCATCAGCAATCCAGCATACGTAACGTTGCCCGATCTGGGAATCTAACTTTAGACCTCTTATTCTACAATATGTTCAATCAGCCACTTGACAAAGCAGTCATTACTAAGGAATCGAACCCAAGGCCTAGTTTAATAAGTACCTATACTTATTAGTAAGTTATACTTCAGCTACCAATTGAGTCATTCAGAACATACAAGCAAAATTAAACCTTAAGACTTACCAACTAAAGCTGGAATTCGCCCATATTTATCAGCTATCCATCCGAATACTAGACCACCTACTATAGCGCCGCAGAAGAAGATAGCTTGAGCTGTAGCGCCTAGGTTGTCCTTGTCGCACACCCAATCCAACTGGAAGGAAAATAGCACGTATGTTAGGGAGTGTGTTTATGGGCCGAGCGACGTTTGACCACTATCTCGCCTTTAAAAAAATACCCACAACAAAATAAATAGTCAAACATCCGAACATAGTACCACCTCCTTTTTTGAAGTCGGTAAATAAAATAACTATACATGGTAGAATTTTGTAATACCACCTGGAGGAGAAGTACTCTTAATACTTAAGATAGAACATTTTACTAAAAGAAAACATTTCTTTATTTTTGAATAGAAACTAAACGACATATAAATTTTTTTTTAAATTAGCTTGTCTCACACGGTAATCAAACCGACTAAAATCTGTCAAAGTTTGACATAACATAACATCACGCCTTTTATCCCCGAAGGTGTAGGCAGAGGTGCCCATTATTCCACTGTACAATGTAACACCCACTTTTCACTATTTATGTTATAAGTCCCATGTAGTCGGGGGTGAGCCTATTGCCATATACCGGGCACAATTCCAGACTCCGTGATACTACTGAGAATTTTTTTTAAAAACCCAGTAATACTTTGCACGACCCGGGAATCGAACCCGAGACCCCTTGCCCGGCAGTTGCACTTGCGACCACTCGGCCAACGCGGCAGCCTTGACTCAAAATTTGACTTGACTTTTATTGCATTGATCGTTCATTGTTTTCCTTTCATTAAAATTTATGAAGTTTGTTAAAGAAATTTCATCCTTATTGACCCTAACAATCGATGCAATAAATGTACAGGGTGCGACTTTTACAGATTTTAGTCGGTTCGATTACCGTGTACGTCAAGCGAATTTTAAAAATCTTTAAATGCAGTTTTGTTTCTTTTCAAAAATAAATTAATGTTTTCTTTGACTACAATTTTCTATCTAAAGTATTAAGAGTACTTTCCCTTCATTACAAAATTCCACCATATATATATGTATGCCACTTACCTCAGAAGCAATAGTGTCATAAGGAACATCAGACTTGTTGTACTCCCACCCATATTTGCAAGGTACGATCTGCCATTCATCATCAGGAGTTGTTCTACCATCAGCCAACGCTTGCCTGAAGTCCGCTGAATACATATTGCAACGATCGTGGGAGAAGGGTCCATCTGATGGTGGAATGGCTAGAGCTCGTCTGGAAAGACAGAAAGGTGCAATCACTATATAATACCAAACAAAGTCACTCTCCGTCGTCTCGCCGTCTGTCTGTCCCTATGTATACTTAGATCTTTAAAACTACACAACGGATTTTGATGCGGTTTTGTTAATAGATAGAGTGATTTTTAACTCGTCAAGTACCGTCATTATAGACACAATTATAGAACAATAGGTTGCGGTCACCGGTGACCGCTTGGTGTTTGACAGTTTAAGGTAGGTTTATGTATATTATACATGCATATTGCACCCGTGCGAAGCCGGGCGGGATTGCTAGTTTTTGTAAAAAAAGGAAACTCTTTTTTTACCACGACGCGACGGTGGCAGAAAAGCACACGGCCCACCTGATGGTAAGCGGTTATCGTGGCCTATGTACGCTTGCAACACTTGGGACCTGTCATGCGCCTTATCGACCCTATATCAGCCCGCCTTGCCAACATCCTTACTATAGAGGTAATATTATAAATCTGAAAGTGAGTTTGTTTGTTTGTTCCGCTTTCACGCCGTAACTACTAAACCGATTGCATTGAATTTTTGCACACGTAAAGTTAAAAGTCTGGATTAAATAATAGGGTACTTTTTATCCCGGAAAATTTTGATATTCTAGAAGGAAAACGAAATTATTGGTATAGATGGCGCTGTGTGTATTGGTATGTCACATAGGCTACTTTTTATCCTTTTGTGGCGCGAGCGAAGCCGCGGGTAAAAGCTACATTAAAATCCGATATCAACCTTTATTTTTGTTTGAAGTCAGTTAATCTGCTCCTAATTGTAATAAACACTTTTGGGGAAATAGTATCAAAAACGGTTCAACCAATCTAGAGATAAGTGCGGATAAATATATATACAGGTCAAATTGAGAACCTGCCCCTTCGTTTCTTTGAAGTTAATTAAAAATCATCATAACATCACGTCTTTTATCGCCGACCGGGCAGACAGTGGTGCACATTACGGCACTTAATGCCACTGGACAATGTAAGAGCCATTTTTTACTATTTATGTTATAAGTCCCATGTAATAGGGGGTGAGCCTATTGCCATATACCGGGCACAATTTCAGACTCTGTGTTACTATTGAGATTTTAAGAAAAAACCCAGTAGTACTTCGCCTGACCCGGGAAACCTCTTGTTCGGCAGTCGCACTTGCGACCACTCGGCCAACGAGGCAGAAATCTCAGAATTAAAAATCACCTCTAATCCTTCCTTGGGTATTGTAAGATTTAAGATATTTACAAGGACTCAGCAGCGATCTCTGATAAACCTGATCCTTTTAATTTTTTTAAACCGTACGTGATAGTATCTGTGTAGCTAAAGGTAGCGGTCGAGAGTGTCAGATATTGACAGTGTACATAGTCCATGTGTCCCTGATAATGTAAAACTCTTAATCTGCTAGTTAGCATGGTGAGGTTGAATGTTCTGGAGAGTACAAACGAGAACCCTTCAAAATGACACCACTCTTGCAAATCAAGGTCGAATGGGCAAATTTTTTCAACGCACTTCCTTTTTTTATGACTTAAGCCGGTAAACGAACAGACGGATCACCTGATGGTAAGCAATCGGCGTCGCCCATGGACGCCTGGAACACCAGAGGCGTTACAAGTGCGTTACGGGCCTTTTGGGGGTTAGGAGTTTGAGGATTGTTGAGGATTCAGGAATTGGGGAGACTAGGGAAGGGGAGGGTAATTGGGCCTCCGGTAACCTCACTCACATAACGAAACACAACGCAAGCGTTTCCTTTAGCATGCTATCGACCTCTATTCCCTTAATCTGACAAAACTGACTTTATTTAGTCTAGTTTTTTTTAACCCCCCTTCTAATCAATACTAGTATATGGTGGGTATATTCAGCGTGACATTAGATTTTCCCCATATGTTGTTTATCTGACGCGCTCGAGTAACTATTGAAATCCCTTCATGGACTCCCCTACTGTATTCATCAAGAATCGAGACACCCTGTTAATAATATACCTAATACATTTCCTAAATTCATATAAAACCGAAGACATCGTATTCGATGAACAATTGACTTCCCAGAAAATGTACAAAAAGTTCAGCTCTAACTAGAATAACTAACAAAACGTTTAGCTATTAATTTCGCAGTTAAAAAAAGCCGGATATTAAACTCCTAAGCATGGATATTACTAAAAAACTTGCCTAGTTATATTTGGTCTTTGGAGGTTCCGTATCATATAAATAAATGGTTTACTGCCTCGCTGGCCGAGTGGTCGCAAGTGCGACTGCCGGCCAAGGGGTCTCACGTTCGATTCCCGGATCGGACAAAGTATTACTAGGCTTAAAAAAAATCTCAGTAGTAGCACGTAGTCTGGAAATGTGCCCGGTATCTGGCATTTTTTTTTTTAAGGGGGGAAAATCATCGAATGACTGCTCCCGCCTGGGTGAGGCGGAAGGAGGGAGTGTCAGACTATTACTGACTAAAAACCACCCCGTTCCTACTTCTGCACGTCGAGCCGGAGCCCCGGTTACCCGTTAGGTTCTCCGCGGTATCTGGCAATAGGCTCACCCCCTATTACATGGGGCTCATAACATAAATAGTGAAAAGTAGGTGTTACATTGTACAATGGTATAATGTGCACCTCTGCCTACCCCTTCGGGGATAAAAGGCGTGATGTTATGTTATGTTATATTTGTTGACGTTTCAAAAGGTACCAAACTATGGTTTAACTCGTCGGGTACCGGTTTTGTAGACATAATTATAGAACAATAGGTTGCGGTCACCGGTGACCGCTTGGTGTTTGACAGTATAAATGAAATAAATGCTTTTGAATTTGAGTTACACAATTACATATTATCTACGGGTCTCCAAAACAGCACAACTACACAACAATTAATATAGGAAACGAATGCATTGCAATATTCGCACCAATAACTATTAAATCATTGACTTACAAAGCAAGACCTCAACGTTTTGTTTATTTGACCTCCAATTAAGGTTGTATACAACTAGGTTAGTCAAACTTGTACCGGCTATCGGTTCACTGGTCAGCGTGACTTGTGATCACGATCGGTTTTTGATTGCAGGTCTGATGATCTTGGTCTTCTGATTTTGATTTTCTGTCGCAAGGGCGACTGCCGGGCAAGGGGTCCCGGGTCGGGCAAAGTATTATTGGGGTTTTAAAAAAATCTCAGTAACAGCACGGCGTTTGGAATTGTGCCCGGTATATGGCAATAGGCTGACCCCCTATTACATGGGACTCATAACATAAATAGTGAAAAGTGGGTGTTACATTGTGCTATTAATTTTGATTGCACGGTTGGTGCGGTGGCTGGGCAACCGGCTGTCATGCACCGTGTCGCGGGTTCGATTCCTGCACGGAACAACACTTTGTATAATCCACAAATTGTTGTTTCGGGTCTGGGTGTCATTGTGTATGTGAACTTGTATGTTTGTAAACACACCCACGACACAGGAGGAAAAAAACAATGGCGTAATATGCACCTCTGCCTATCCCTTCGGGGGTAAAAGGCGTGATGTTATGTCTGATAATTTTTTGTTGGTAGGTAAAGGAAAGAAACGTCATCCTAAAAAGTCGGTAACACACCTCTCGCAAATTCACGTGTCCATGAACGGTACTGGTCGCTTACCATCAGGTGATCTGTCAGCTCGTTCGCCTCTGATTCAGAGAAAAGAATTTGTGATGCGATGGCGTCTGATAGGGGAGAATGGAGGAAGACATATTGTCCCACAAGTAACTAGGAATTAGGGTAACAGTTCTTGTATACCATCAGGCCAGCAGGTCGATATGAATCTATAGGACACGTATGAATGTGATGGAAGGTAAAGAGGTATGTAAGGAGCGTAGTAGGTGGCGCTCTGTAGTTTCTATATACCATTAGATGTATGAATGTTATATAAGCTAAAGAAGTATGTAAGGAGCGTAGTAGGTGACGCTCTGTAGTTTCTGTATACCATCAGATGTATGAATGTGACGGAAGCTAAAAAAGTATGTAAGGAGCGTAGTAGGTGACGCTCTGTAGTTTCTGTATACCATCAGATGTATAAATGTGATGGAAGCTAAAGAAGTATGTAAGGAGCGTAGTAGGTGGCGCTCTATAGTTTCTGTATACCATCAGGTGTATGAATGTGATGGAAGCTAAAGAAGTATGTGAGGAGCGTAGTAAGTGGCGCTCTGTAGTTTCTGTATACCATCAGATATATGAATGTGATGGAAGCTAAAGAAGTATGTAAGGAGCGTAGTAAGTGGCGCTCTGTAGTTTCTGTATACCATCAGATGTATGAATGTGATGGAAGCTAAAGAAGTATGTAAGGAGCGTAGTAGGTGGCGCTCTGTAGTTTCTGTATACCATCAGATGTATGAATGTGATGGAAGCTAAAGAAGTATGTAAGGAGCGTAGTAGGTGGCGCTCTGTAGTTTCTGTATACCATCAGATGTATGAATGTGATGGAAGCTAAAGAAGTATGTAAGGAGCGTAGTAGGTGGCGCTCTGTAGTTTCTGTATACCATCAGATGTATGAATGTGATGGAAGCTAAAGAAGTATGTAAGGAGCGTAGTAGGTGGCGCTCTGTAGTTTCTGTATACCATCAGATGTATGAATGTGATGGAAGCTAAAGAAGTATGTAAGGAGCGTAGTAGGTGGCGCTCTGTAGTTTCTGTATACCATCAGATGTATGAATGTGATGGAAGCTAAAGAAGTATGTAAGGAGCGTAGTAGGTGGCGCTCTGTAGTTTCTGTATACCATCAGATGTATGAATGTGATGGAAGCTAAAGAAGTATGTAAGGAGCGTAGTAGGTGGCGCTCTGTAGTTTCTGTATACCATCAGATGTATGAATGTGATGGAAGCTAAAGAAGTATGTAAGGAGCGTAGTAGGTGGCGCTCTGTAGTTTCTGTATACCATCAGATGTATGAATGTGATGGAAGCTAAAGAAGTATGTAAGGAGCGTAGTAGGTGGCGCTCTGTAGTTTCTGTATACCATCAGATGTATGAATGTGATGGAAGC